TTTTTAAAGAATTCGGTATTTAATTATAAATGTTGAAAATTACGCTGCGACAAGGTATCCTTGTGCAATCAAAGAATGAGTGCACTTTGTCTAAATAGAGATGCAATTTTGCGGGTCATCCTGACATAGTTTGGCCTTGAAAAATGCTGCTTTCGCTCTCTGCTTGTGCTTGTAATTAGAACAATAGGGTTTTTTTCCATAAATGAGAAAATGCGCTAAAAAGGCGAGCTCATTAGCGCATTTTCTCATATATGGAAAAAATGCCCTAATTTGCTCGCCATAACCGTCTGTTTGTCTGTCTGTCTGTCCGTCCGTCCGTGACCTCAAGTTTTCGTCGACGAAAAAATGCGCTCTCTGTCACTCACTGCAGTGAGTAATAAGTTATATTTTTTTAGTGTATGTATGTTTGTTATATATCTATGTATATTTATTATGTAGCAATTTGGCGGGCTCACTTTCTCAATGCATGACTCAATTACAAGTCATAACTGAGAATAATTACGCGTCAATCAAGGCACAAGTTTGTAATTTCGCAGTTCCAGAACGCAAGCAGATCAACAATCAGTTGCAATAATTAATTACTATCGTTATAATTCTTTAAGTGTCCCATGTCCCATGTCCCATGAAATTTATAGTGTCAGTTGTCCCACGTGACCTGAACGTTATTACAAAGAATGAATTACTGATACGTTTAAGCTCGAGGTGCTAGTGTAGTTTAGCTCCAGCGTGATGCATGCTGGGAGTTGCATAATTTTGGCTGAGGGAGACATTACGTCTGGAAAATATGGTTCAAATAAAGAGCTTCGTGATCGATGTAGAAATAATTGTAGTTCATGAGAGCAAAATCATCATCAATCAATCATTTTAAGATATGGCGTCCATTATAAGGAAAATCCTTCAACAAATTTATTATTATTAAGCCCGAGAATTTAAAAAAACTTTCTTGATCTAGGATTAAACGTAGTCGTTATGTCGGGAAAAAATGTGCATTCATAATTTAGACGTACTTGGTAGGTAAATTCACGTGTTGAATAAAAGTTAGGACTAAAATAATGTTTAAACTACATCAATATAAACCCGCTGTCACGATTTACTTTCCATTGCACGCAAGTCTTTTCGAGCCAACACGCAAAATAAAAACTTTGCTCAGGGAATTGCGCGAGGCTGTGGCAAAAAAATCGATTTGGCGGCAACAAAACATGGCGCCGCAGGAGCAATAATTTCACCTTTCATCTGGATAAGATAAAAATAAGTGGGTGAAAGAACCTAGTGCCACGAAGGTCTGAATAATGGCCCTATCTTAACGGAGTTTTTATAAGGTATAGGGGAAGTAAAAAGAACACTATTAATGCTACGCAATATGAAGATTGAAGATTCGTGGAGTAAAGATGTCGATAAAATTTCATTTTTATGCAGAAACTAGTTGAATGTAATGAGTCGGTTACCAAACTTGCTTTTTTTATAAAATTTTGCTTAAATGCGCTCCTGTCTATTTCAAATCCTGATTTCTTAATTTACTAAGCCGTGCAATTTGCATGCGCAGCAAAGTTCCGAACTTCACCTGAACTTCGATAGCGGCGAAGACACTCTCCGAGGCGGCAGCACAATAACCAAGTTTCGGCGTACGACAACTTAGGCCAACATTTCCGAGCAAGTTAGGCGTAGTGCAATAACATGAATGGAGCTACTCGTGAAAAAGGAAATTACCGAGTCGTTTGCATGGCAATGTCCGTCCTACTCGGGAATATCCATTACTCGCACCGGAGGGACGTGAAAGAAACGTTTCTTGTCAGCGCTAACTCGCTTGTCAGAATGTTTTTTGTACCATACTTATTGTGCCATTTTCTTACCTTGCCCATTATTTTTGCCTGGTTTTTGCGTCATGATAGATCCATGCAGGAATGAAAATAAGCATATAATAAGTATATATCTTGTCAATTTGCTGCAGAAAAAAACATCAAGTCCAAAACGTAACAAAATTGCAATATGGTAACAATACCAGTGCAAAAATGATGATGAAATTTCTGAATAAAAAACTTTTTGGATAGAAGCGCATACGAGTTCATGTCTCTGAAATCGTAAGGACCGCCGTTTATGTCAGAATGACGTAGAATGCAATAAGATTACGGGTTTCCTATATTTATTGCCTCGCTGAAAACCTAGTCTTTTGATCCTGAAAAATGTGGCAGCGTCGAACAAAGGAGATGTCGCGCACCACACAGGACTCAGTTAACATTACGAAAGATTCTAGTCACGCATCACGCAGAACTCAGTTAACATCACGGAAGATCTAATTCTAGTCACGCACCACACAGCACGCACTCAGCATCACGAAAGATCTAATTCTAGTCACGCACCACACAGCACGCACTCAGCATCACGAAAGATCTAATTCTAGTCACGCACCACACAGCACGCACTCAACATCACGAAAGATCTAATTCTAGTCACGCACCACGCAGCACGCACTCAACATCACGAAAGTTCTAACTCTAGTCACGCACCACGCAGCACGCACATAACATCAAGGAGGATCTAATGCACACTCTAACGTGAAGAAAAATGATAAATTTCGTTTCTGGACGTTACACCCAAAGACTCAAGCTCCGAAATTTGATTAATTGTTATGAGTATGACACACTTATTACATTGAATCACATTGATTTGATGCTTGTATAGATAAATAGAGTGAGAAATTTTTAATTTCCGCTTGCCCAATTAAAAAGTTGAAAATCTTTCAGGGAAGGACTATAAACCGTTTGCGTTATTTCTTTTTACCAATATACAATATAAGTCACCGGAAAAAATAGAGAAACAAATTTATAAAAAATATGAAACTCATTGATTTTAATATTTTTAAACGCTTTACACTTTTAAAATATAGTGAAAATATTTATTTCGATTTGCACGTGTCATCAGCGACCCTGTCGAAACAGAGCATTAATATCTATAATGTATGTAGCCATCTAACACAACTAAAGTTTGCCTAGATGTTTGATTATTATCAAACTTTTCAGTCTGTTGCTAGAGCTACATTTTAATGATATATCATAATACAATAATAAATACATAACTTTCGGAATAAAAAACTTTACTTCACTTTGATCTTGACCGATGTACTGTCACCTATGGTCGATTCCCAGTATTAATTGTTACTTAGGGTAGGTTCTCCTTATGTATTATCACCAATAGTAGATTCTCTTGTTGTATACAGTAGGTTATCCTAATTTACTTTTACCTACTGTAGATTTATTATATGCTTCACAGTTATATTATAGTGATAGCTACAAATTAATAATTTGATCATAATATACATATAAATTACTTATATTCTATTATTTACATCATAATTATAACATAGTGATTTTAAAACTAATTATATAATTGTGAAATAATAAATTGTAAATAAAGAAAAATTAAAGTTTAATTCGGTTCTCTATCTAGTTCAAACTCGAATGTGTACATTCTGCACATTAGATCAGTGAATGAATTTATAGGCCTTATGTTATTTTGAGTAGAGTTATGTTGCATAGTTTTAACTCTCTTGCAACTTCATGGATTTCCGCGGCAATAACCGAGCTATGCCTGTCTTGGTTGCATTGCTGTCAAGCACAACTGTGAAGCAAATATCAAAGCTACTTGAACGAAGATATTATCGGATCTGAATTAATTCTAACCGAATGATTTCTTAGCCAGTCAAGAGGCTCGTAATCTGAAATATCTATATTATGATAATTTTGCAATAATATTATAGTCCATACATTCCGCAATGTGTCACAATGAAGCTCTTAATATGCATGATTACCAGAATTTTGTTAGCACATAATTTTATGGCATCAATCATTCAAAAAATATTCCTTCTTATTGAGAGGCTCTAATGGAGCGAACATGAACACAGCAATAGAGAAGCAATTCTTCGCATCCTCTATAAGCTTGATTCTATTTATAACTAATTTCAAATGATAACAGGGATATAGTTTCTATTCAGGGATATGGCTTGAAAATAACGACAAGATTCTCAGTCAAAGTTTGTCAAATTTTGAGAAATCAATGCTAAGGTAAGATGAAAATAAATAAGTGCTGAGGGAGTTTAACTGGTGAATCAGTTCCTTTTTTACGCATTTGTTACCTATTTGAAATCCCGATGTACTCTCACCTATGGTAGATTCCCAGTATTAATTATTACTCAGGGTAGGTTCTCCTTATGTATTATCACCAACAGTAGATTCTCTTGTTGTATAAAGTACATAGGTCATCCCAATTTACTTTTACCTGCTGTAGATTTACCTAAACCAAATCGCAAAACATAAACTATAAACCATTAAATTTTGACATATGAATATACTTGTCCTACAAAAGAACGAGACGCCTTAATATGCCTCATGGATTTCCCATATATTCCTAAAATAGGCCTTGTGACCAATAATTCATAACTATGCACCGTCAGAATTATACAGATTTGAGGAAAAAAAGCATTTGAAATTATGATACATGGGCTGCTATTATTTTTCATGCCTCATGGCAGGTAACTCCATTGTAATGATTTACTGATCGATTTAGTGGTCGGAATCGGTGAGAAAAACTCCTTAACAGCCACATAAATCTGAGCAAGAAGTCATAACTATCATCATGGCTCCAAGATCAGTACTGTCACCTGTTTGTCGACGTAGCTTTATTGAGGAATATCTGCTTCTTCGCTACAAATCAACGTGCAGCATCGGTTACTCATGTGTCTAAGCACCTTATATTCAGTTAATGGAATGTTGGTGGCTTGTGACTCAAGTGAGTCGACGGGCTGCTAAACTGGAATGTTCGACGGGAATAATTTGTGAACATTGAAGGAGCGTTAACTAAAATCGTTGGCATTCAATAAAATTGGTGAATTAAAGTGTTCATGATATATTTTGCATGCATATATATTTAAAAAATTCTAGTTCATTCAAATTGATTAAATCGACAAAGTTTTGTTATAATACCATTTTATTCTCTCAAATACTCACATTTCCTAGGGGGTAAGATGCCAGGTATGATGGATGAAGGAGGCAGCGCTGTACCAACTTTGATCTTGACCAGACTCGTCTCTTCCTCCACTGGTGCATGCCTCCGCTTGACCAGACTCGTCTCTTCCTCCACTGGTGCATGCCTCCGCTTGACCAGACTCGTCTCTTCCATTTGATTCCGCCACTCAATATTGCTCGCTTCGGCCATGCCATGACTCATTATCAAGCACACATATAACGACAATCTAAACGTGTTCATTGTGTTGTTATAGTTTATCATCAACGCGTTCTTAGAATTGTTGATTCAATAGCGGCATTAACTCACCTATTGAGTCTTATTACAGATTGAGGTACAGTCATGTGTGTTTTAGTAAAATAGTGGGTTCTTATTGCAACCTTTCGCTGGGATTACTTGGAAGAGTTGAGTGGTTTTCAATACACTGTCCCAGGAATGTATTTAGTCATTTTGAGATGCACTTGTTCGTAAAAATAAATCTCACTTAAGCAAGTACTGGATTTGTATATCACGTATATGCGTTCAATGAATTTTTTATTGTATTAATTTGTTTCATAATCGATTCTCTATAAAAATATTATCACTTGTATTACGTTTGCTATAAATCCCGAGCGTTGAAAATTGTGACAAGTGTAATCATGGAATTTCTGTTGGGGCAATAAGATTAAAAGATTTGGTATAAATCCATAAAATTTAGATTTATTTGGCCCTAGAGGCAGTTCCTAGATACAAATTGTCCCTCAGTAATGACTTCATTAAAGCCGAACACTTAATTCTTCAACATCCGCCAAACATCAAAATTAATGAGTAAAAATAATGTCATAAATCACGTCATTGATTGAAGTTCGTACAGGATGACAAAAGTTGCTAAGTTGATGCTCATTAAAGAAATTTTTTTAGAAGTTTATGATTGCGGTGTGGCGTTCTGTTATGATTTCGTCGAAAAATCTTTCCTTTGCAAAACAAAAGTTCATTCATTCGTCTAAAATGCTCATCTGTGCAGCGAGGCTCTGGAGTTAAAAAGATCGTTTTTCTTAAAGCCACGAGCATAGATGAGGTCGGTGCTGCGTTTAAATTAGAATTTCCCCGTTAAAAATGTTCAGAAAATTTTCCGTTGCCCTACATAATTATATTCCGAAACTAGACATATAATTTGTGAAACGATGATGATGAAATTCATGGAAAATTCTCAGAATTCCGGTGTCTGGTGCATCATTTTTAAATTTCTCTCTGCTTAATAAGATATTTTTTCGCTTTAGTAATGATATTGTTCACTGATTAGTTCGTTCAGTTCCTTTCAAATTTTACTTGTTCAATTCCTTTGAAACTTAATTTATTTGTTGTATTTACAGTATCTCTACTTTTTATACGTTTTTCAACAATAGTTCGAGTACCTTAATGACAGAACACTTTGAGATGATATTTTTCACAAAAAATCAAGCATTTGACTTCAATGAAATTTAGTTAGTAAGTTTGAAGAAAAAGGTGCTGAACCTCGCCGACGAGAGAAGGTAAACATTCTTAGAAATTAATAGAATTTCAGTAATTTGTTAGTTAATATTATAACTGTCGCTAAATGGAGCAAGCCCAACGAAAACTTTATGCGTCTTGTCTTTTTATCAAAGTTTTGGTGGCTGGAGTTAAAAATAGATACTGACCCTCAAGAATTCTGTATTAAGGTTTCATTAGTTTATTGTGAAATAAACACCAAATTTGATGAAAATAATTAGATACTTTTTGGCAAGAGATTTTTATTTACGACTCATTTATGATGAGAAATACGATGAGAAATAACCCCCCTGGCAATTACCTCAAATGCCAATTTTTGATCCTGTTTTATACCTTCTTTTCGCTCACAAAAAAAAAATTGGCTAAGTTAAGCTGGAAACACTAAGCCAGCTTATTTATTATTTTATTTAGCCTTTTAAAGCGTGAAGCGCCTTCTTTGTCTCACAAAATGTCTCGGAATCGTCGCTGCATTTCCTTGAGGTATTGCACGAGAATTGGCTCGAGATTTCCAGCCTGACAAAGTAGAAGTATTTATTCTAAGCCAAGGTCTACTTCTAGGAAGGAATAATTTCTTTATAGTGCAAAATCGACTTCCCGCAGCGAAAATTTAAACCATTAAGGTTTTTACGTTCTTTGCTAAGTTAGTAAAGCACTCGCAATTTCTTGCTAAAAAGTACTGATTGAGTTTGGAAAGAAAAACAGTTTAAAATAAATATCAATTTAATAACCAAGGCCTTGAACATTATTAGGACAGTTATAGGAATAAAACTACATACTATTATATAAGAAGTCAATATATTCACACGCTCTCAAATTAAAAAACTTTTATTACACTTTTTTCCGTTTATTATTTCTTCTCAGTTTGGAACTTGCTTTCGACATGAACGCACAACGCCATGTTGTTTAATTTATGTTGATTCTGAAAAAAAGTAAAAAGTTTATTTCTAATTGTAACAGGAAAATAGTCTATGGAGAAATTAACCAAACAAGGCCAGGCCGACTCGCCTGGCCTTGTTAAATGAAAGACAAAGTCATGTTAAAATTACACAAATTTGGCCTTAAACAATTTTTTATAAATGTATTTCCATAAAATGATCCAAAAATCTGAATAATCTCTTCGTTAAGGAATCATATAACTTGTGAAGGCATTTTTATTGACACTTATTAGTTACCGTGTACAATAAATGAATAAAAAAATCATTGTTACAGCTAGGGAAAAAGATCATTAAATGAGTAATCAATAATTAGCGTTGATCAAAAGCGCATATTCACACGCATCCAGCACTCGAATGACATACCACATAAAAGATGATAGCTATTCATATGAATTATCCCGACAATAACTTTTATAGTTTAAATTAAACTCTAATGAACCAATTCGGAATGTTAAACAATTCAGACATTTTCTATGCAGCCCGCGAAGAATGAAGAAGCGTGGCTTACCCAAGAAGATAGGACCAGTCTTCTACAACTAAAATATAAAATACGGCGAAGCTGAACATTTTTTCTTCACTAGAGTTTAAAGCAAATAAGAATTGATGTTTAACCTTGATATTTGACCGTCTGGAAATCGCGACGGTTAAAATTTTATATTATAATTGGTGCGTGCAAAAAATGTCATTCTCAGATGGCATTAATTACATATTTTTTTGCATTGAAATTTTCAACTTCATTTTTCTTCAGAACCAATTTCATTCTCAAGTATATACATAGCCTCTGGTGAAAATGTTACTTCATTCATGTACATTTGAATCGTAACATATTTTGAATCGTAATAATATTTTGAATGTACATCTTATGATACATTTCATGACTTTTTCACTTCTATTGTCAGCGAACTTCATGCGAATATGATTTCATCAACTAAAGAAAAATGTTAAAAAGATCTAGTTGATTCAGCATAAAAATGAATTAATAAGGTTTTATAAACAGCATGCTAAATTATTGCCAGAACTCCGTGCCAAGGTCGAAAAAATGCTGTAAGATTTTACAAATATATATTTTTTACGGTTGCAGATAGTGGCGACCTTGTGAATTATCCATCCACGAAAAACAAACTTTTCATCTCAAAGCTTGTGTTAATTAATTAGAAAAATCAGTTCACGGGATTCTAAAAGTCCCGAGGAATTCCTTGCATTTCTTGAATTGAACTTAGACTTCAAAGTATTTAGTGGATCTGTTGCTACAGTTGTTCTAAAAATGAATTCACATATAATTATTGTTATGTATGTCTCTTAGAATCATTCTTATCGAAAAATTTCCATCAGTAACGGAATCTTTAAAAAAATTCAAAAGTTTACGGAATTTGAAAAATATTTGTGCTTCTGATTCTATAACATTACGGGAAAATTGAAATTAGTTACTGTCCCTTTAATGTACCTAGTGATTTTCTTTGTTTGAGCTCATTCTTTTGGTTAATTTTTGCTGATTATTTTCATATTTAGAAATTAGAATGACTGAACCAATTTATGAATTTAAAACTAAACTGAACTGAACCTGACGTTTATAGGCTTGAGTTGTCATCTTCTGTGTAAAATATCTATTATATACAAGAATAACTTTACCGGGTGTAACAGATTCGTCCAAATGTTGACGTCGGTTACATTCAACACAGAAGAAGAAAATATGATTAACTAACACCGGAGCCACTACACCGGAGTCTCGAATATTCCTGACTTTATTTTAAATTTGTGGCGTCGAGACCGCTGCCTGTAAGGCTTAACTTCGCTAGTAAATCTCGCAGCCTCCCCAGTGTGGGATGAATCTAAAGGAACAAAATCTACGGTGTTAAGGAACACATTTACGTTATTTTTTGTGTTCCTGGCCTGAACACATTTACGTTATTTTTTGTGTTCCTTACCTAAATATATTCACGTTTATTTCTTGTGTTCCTTACCTGATCACAATTACGTTATTTTCTATGTTCCTGACCTGAACACAGTGACGCTATTTTTTGTGTTGCTGACCTGAACACATTTACGTTATTTCCTGTATTCCTGACCCTGAATTTCGCCAACTCTATTATCTTGTTTACAGGAAAATAATTTTTGCTCGTATTGGTAAACTTTGTTCAATGAACTAATGGAAGTTATTGAGATGCACTTTTTGCATACGTATGGTGTTAATTTTTATGTTTCTTAATGAATTGATTAAAACAGTTCGTAGATTTTCAAGTTATAAATAAAAAACGACACACCAATTACACCGGAGAATAATTAAATGGATTTCTAGCGTCATACAAATTATTTTTCTGTTCTGGACAAGGGCTGACAACGAACCATTATAATTGTTGAAACCAATTAGTCACAAGCTATTTCTCAAGCGTTAAATTAGCATTATAATTTTGACTTGATTGTAACAAAATAATTTTCCATAAACAAGTCACAATAATTGTCTCAATTTCGCTTCGTAATTCCAGATAATTAGTTATTTTTACAACCTAGCTGCGTCATCTTGAACAAAATGGCATTGCTCAGAACATTGCTGCTAATTAAACATACTGTATATATAAATTACGAGCATTAAATTACTGACGGGCTTAAATTACTATTTTCTTTGTAGAATATTAATTCAAAAATGTATCGACTGAAAATGATTCTGATTAAAACAACAAAGTAATGATTGATAGCCCTTCAACTGTCAAGTGGACCTGATTGAGACCAGTATTGCTGAGCGGCCGCTGAGCAAAGTCTTGCAGCATAATTGAGATATCGGAGCGTCTTTATTATGTGCCACCTCTTAAATAGAGGCGTATATGTACCGGCCATGTACTCAAACAAA